GCTCGTTGTTCTCCCCTCTGCTTGTGTAATCTTCTTTGTCTTCCTTAATTCCTCTTGCTCTTCTAGTTTTCTCCTCCTGATCAATTTGTTGCAGGTCTCATTTTATGTTTCTTCTTTTATAAAAAATGTCAAATTTTGTTTTGAAAATGCCATCAAGATAACATTATTACTCTTCAAAAATGTCATCTTTTGCTATGAAAATGTCATTGAGGTGGTATTCTCAATTCGTGTTGGCATTCTGGTAAAAATGTTGGCATATATATATTAGCATCGCCGGCGGCCAGACCTGCAGCAACGGAGGTCAGATCCGCAACGGCGGCGTCCAGATCTCCAGGGCTGGTGACCGGCAGCTGGTGGCGGTCAGGTCTGGCCAGATCTATGGCGGTGGTGGTCAGATCTGCAGCAGCGACGGCCAGATCTGCAGTGGCGGTCAGCTTTGAGGCGGCGACCGGCGACGGTCCTGCGTTCTATCGGCAGTAGTATGTTTTCCCAAGCTTCAGGGGTGTTTCTGTCCAACTACAAATAATAACTCCTATTTATGGATTTTATAAACGTTAGTTCTATTTTGGCAATTTTGATTTATTTACTCTTATTTAGGTGAATCTCCCGTTTCTCATTGCCTTAGCAAATATGGAGAAATTAGAAAGTATGTTTCCCCAATGTATGTATGTACTATGTTGGTTATATGTTTTGGCTATTTGCGGTGAAAGTATCATAATCGACTCTTATTAAACTATGAAAAAATTACATACTTATAACCAAAATAGAGATTGTTTATAAAAAAAAACAGTGACCTTATAGGTGTAGTGATTACAGATTATATTAGTAATTTAGACATAATAACTTATGTTCAATTTTTACACTTAAATGATCATGACACACTACTTGCAAACCACTGCTATTTTGTGAAAAAATCTTAAACTATTGCTATTTATCACATCACATCAAACTTGTAAAACATTGCTCATATTTTGTTTATGTTTGCACATTACTTGTAAAACACTCCTATTTTGCACATGGCATTAAACTTGAATCATTGTTATGTTTAACTAGTAATTAACTCATATGTTGCACATGATGTAATATGCTTATAGTCTAAATGTTAATATATAAATATAAATGCAAATCATACGGAGTATTATGCTTCTATCACATGAATTAGAGAAGAAGTCATAAATAAATAAATAAAATTAAATATTAGAAATTTAATACGCACACACATTACAAATCAGTAAAACCTTGTTGATGTGACGTTTTTACGACTCATTGTCTATTCGTCATTACATATCATGAACTTTAAACATCTCACACCTCTTCTATAATAGTAATATCTCGTGATATGTTTTTTCGCCCGTGTGTCGCATGTGCATGTTCGCTCGAATAGTATCATAATACAAAGGAATAAGAGTACCTTTTGATTCAAATGCAATGGGATCAATATATCCCCCGGCCCTGAACATGCGTTCGTAATAGTTCTGTATTTCTATGCATGCTTATGATATCAGCCTTAAACGTAAAATAAGTCACTTCATGGCTATCACTTCTACATTCCTGTCTCACCTTCATCCATTCAAGTGCTTTGTTATACCACACAAATGCTAGTAAGCCAACTAAATACACATTAAGGACTGCACAATTAAGAGTGACAGTATCTCACAAATTTCATTTAAACAATCAATGAGTTTCAATTTCAATTGTTAAATCATTTTTTAAATAGGCCAAAAAGCGATAGGGAAACATGTTTACCCAATCGATTAAATTTTCAGTTTCACAATAATCCCTTTATTGCCTATTCAGAATGGGTCCAAGTCTAACCTACATCTAATGAATGTGTCAATATGTCTTTATAATGTCCGAAATTGGATGTACCTAAGCTTACTCGAAACTACATATTATCAACCTTGGAGCCTTGGTCAAGATTAGACATTAAGGAGATCATAAAAAAGGGCACGTCCTATAAGGGTAATGGTAAGAAACATTATTTGAGAAAAAAATGTTGTCTTTTAAACTTGCATTGATTGTTACTTTACATAAACGGAGGGAGATGAACAAAAATTGATGATTTGTATGTTTGAGAGATAGACCCGTTTGGTTTAGTGGTGCTATTAATAAATATTACTCCATTGTAAACATGTTCCTGTTTCTATAGTTGAGCTAAAGTCATTCAATTTTCAGTTTCACAGTAATCCCCTCAACTCTTGGAACAAATAAAAAATACGGATAAATTTGTGTGGTCTTGACTCTTGTGATTTATTGAGAACTCTGATAGTGACTTTTAGAATTTTTATGTTCCATCCTTATTATTTCCCCCTTTTATATACAATTTACATGAAGCTTGGGATATAACTTCGTAAAATTTGGAGCTGACGGGTAGGACACGTTCCTAGGGTTCAGTGTAGCGATTCTTCGTCACTAGCTTTCCACGCAGGTTGAAGCCTTCGACGATCGTGGTGGGGCGATTCCTTTTTCGATCGTAGCTTCCCAGTCAAACGCAGAAATACACAAGAGGGACCTGATACTACGCAGTGCAACGGAGAGGTGCTTCGCCGGTGCGGCAGCAACAAACATCGGGCATTCAAGCATCACGGAGTCCATTCGCAGAAGGACATAGGAGTTTCCGAGCAGCAGCAATCGAGATGATTACCAAGCAAGGGGAGTTTGATGAGCTATATTAGATCTGCGATCTGTTGGTCATGGGAGAGGAAGATGGTGTGCTATTGGTTGGTCCCCTCCTGAACCGCCTCCTGAACCGCCGTTATGGAATGATAGAGAAGGGTTTGGATGAAGACGAGTCAAATTTTGCTTTATGTTATTTAGTTTTAATTATTTAGTCCAGTACTTTGTCTTTATTTCGTTATGTGGTTTTAGTTTTTAGCTTGGGAGAAAGCAATTAGGTCAATTTGGCCGATAATAGCTTTGAATCTCTCACATGTTCATTATTGGGCACACTATTCTATGCGTGATCAGAGAGTGGGGCCTATTGGCTATAAGGAGTCTAGAGGAAACTTTTGGATAGCCAGAATGTTGGATGTTTGGTTGTCTGATTTTTGAATTTAATATAAGCGTTTTCCAGCAAAAAAAACAACAACTTCGTAAGATTTTTTTTTGGAAGCAGGTGGCTTATATTAATAACAAAGAACGTAAGCACGATACAAACTGACAAATAACTCATTGTCTACCGTTCGCTCTTGAACCAGACTTAGAATCTGCCACCTCGAACGAAGCAACCAGATTCGTTGATCCTGAATTGGGCTTACTTGAGCCAATTACTAGTAAACTTAGTTCCCCATCACATGTCCTATGTTCTAGAGTCTTGACAAAACTAAACGTAACAACAAACAAAAACACACGATGTCCATGATAAAACTCAGCAATTATAAAAATAAGTCTAAAAGTAGAAGAAACTTTAATTCTCCAAGTGCACCTGAACTTCACTTATTGTGGTTGGAGGCTCCAGCCCGCCTCCTCCCTGTTTTTTTTATCCTTCCAGCATCATAGTGTCCTCTCCTGGTTGTTCCCGCTCTGGTTCCTTAGCTTCCCATGTCCGCCTCCTCTTCTGCTCTCTCGTGCTACTATTGTTACCCGTTGCTTCCACGGTCTTTGGGTCGTCTCCCTCGTCCTGATTCTGGTTTTCCATGCGGAGCAATCTCTGTTCCTGATTATCCATTATATTGATTTGCCTCGCCATTTGGTCTCTTCCTATCCCTTTCTCACCTACAAGCCATTTACTGCCTATTGTTGTACGGAGCCTCCCTCCCCCTGCCCGAAACCATGGACCAAAAGGTCTCACTATGTCTGTATCGCCTTTGCCATAAAACGATGGGCAAAATTTGTCAACGTGTCCAATGACTCCGCAGGCAAAGCAGAAACTTGGAAGTTTCTCATATTTGAAATCTAGTACCCTTCTCCTTTACTCTTTTTCAACGTCATCCCCACCTTTAAGGGTTTCCTCACATTCACCATCACCCTTACCCTCATATAGGCTTCCCATTTTTCATCAAATTGTTTATCATCCCAGGTTATAAAATTCCCCAAATACTTTCCAATTTTATGAGCATAACCTAGATTTGAAAACCCATAAGGGATATTATGAACCTGAACCCAAAAATCAACCGTATCTAGAGGTATTTTCTGAGGCATGTCACCCTGCTTAATAGCTTTCAACATTGGCAAATTTTGGTCAAACAACCAAGGTTCATTATCCAACACACGATTCATATCAATTTTGTGATAAAAAGTTAAGAGATACCTCTTCTCTCTAATCTCCTGAATCAGAACATCTTTTCCAGGACACCAAATAGACGCGCCATCAGATCGCGAAAAAACTGAAATTTCACCACTTTGTCGATGAGGATCATGCCTACCACGGGGAAGGTCTCCACCCCCTTGCTCGCCGTCTCAGGATCGAGTTCCTCTATATCTTCATCGTCCAACAGTAGCTCATCATCCGTACTCTCCAACCCCAGTCCATCATATTGATTGGTCAGATTTTCCACGCCCTTATCGATGGTCGCCGTCAAGGATTCGCTCTCGTTGCCGTAGAGTTCCCTCATCACCTGAGATTTGCCGCTACCAGCCCCCAGTGCGCTCGCCTGCCCTACTGCTTCCCTTGATTTCTCTTTGGTTGCCATACGTCTGATACTGGTGCCACACTCCTTCGACGGAAGTTCCTCAACCCTAAGAAGAGGGAACAGCCGCGTTTCGTAAGATTTGTATATGTACCTTTATTATTTTTATTTCTATTTGTTTTTTGTTTCTTTTAGCTCCTTGGATTTAAAATGAAATAACCCATTAAAATAAATCAAAGTGGATTTAAAAATATGATTATATGAAACCACACATCATCATTTAATCATTTTCAAGTTTATAAACTTAAATTCAAGCCAAACCGAAATACATTCAAGTTCACTATCATACATGCATACTATTGTCCTCAATGGCTCAATCAAATAAACCAAAATTCAATTGGAATCATAAAACCGAACAGTAAATCGGTTTGTCCACCCCTAGCCCTAGCTATACACTATAAAGAAATTGCTTTATATATGAGTAAAAGTATTCTGAACTTCTGAAATAGGAATGCGCTATGTTTGTAGGTATAAATTGCCCAAACAAATTCTAGGAGGGCTAGTTTTACGAAACCCAAGCCATATAGGTATTGGAGTATTGGACCAATTAGCAATAAAGTTTAAACAATGAAAATTTACTTTTACACGGTTTGAATACCATGCTATAAGTATGCACAATATTCAACCCCTTTTTTTAGTTTGAACCTTTGCAGGTACTAGAAATCTTCTAAAGCAAGGCGTCTGAACATGCCAGATCACTGCAGTAGCAGGAAGCTATGGTCGGATGGAGAAGGTAGAGTGAAATCTTCTAATGTAGACGTCTTGCATTATATGATGCAAATCATCTCACATTAGAATAATCTCTATTCTATAGTTGAGCTAAATTCCAAGTCATATTGTCAATGGGTGAAAACCTGCCCACATTGTACTAACTACTAACTGTATAAATTACCAATGACAAAATTTTCGTTCAAATGTTCTCTTTATCCCTCGATAACAATTGTGTGTACTCACAACTAGTTGTCTTTTCCATGAAGCAAAATTTGAAGCATATACAAACTTCAGCTATCGGCCTTGAAAGACATCTCTCATAAGCAATCATCATGCTTGGCAGAGCACATCAAAAAGCGGTTCTCCTCCATTTTCTCCCAACCTTAATGTCAGAGTAAGGTACCGCGGATCTTTCTGAAAGTATATTTTCCATCAAAATCAAGATGAGCCAGCCAGTCAGTCAGTATGAAGCTTTTTCCTTCTCTGACATCTTTTTATATACCACCCGGCGTGATTCTTTAACCCCATACCGACTAATATTTTGAGGCTGGCTAGCATGATAAAGGTCAATGCTGACAGGAGAAATATCCAAAACAATCTCCAGGAGAGGGGACTATATGGAAGATGAGCAGCATAAACTGGACGTAGCACTCTAATTACCTGCATTTTGTTTATTTTCTTATTAAAGGTCAATGTTGAAAGAAGTGGTGCATTTAGAGTGGTCTGATTATTATAATCTCATTGGTCTCCCAAACGTTCCCCTATGGAAGAGAGAGAACAAGAACTTACAACGCAAGCTGGCGCTAAAGGAATGAAAACCAGGTTATTCTTTGCATTCTCAGGCTGGTTCCAAGTCTGTACAAATGAAATGATGCTCACGTGTGAATGATCTCAAACCTAGTTAGGCAATAATAGCAATTCATCCAACATATACATTCTTTTTTTGTAACACACTAGGCCAATCTAGTACTACCTGCTTGCATAGATCTTCAAGAAATTCTGAAAATGCCATGGGCTTTATGTTGTTGAATTTCGCAACAAAAGAATGTTTGATAATATCAATCATCATTTCACATATGTACACAACAAGGGCATTCTGCATTCAAAAGACAAAGGGTGAGTGTAAATTGGGATCAAGTTGAACGGTGAGCTACCTGCAGGCTTTACAGTGTTAGGGGGACGCAGACTATAGATGTAAAGCCACTCACATAAATAAAACTTTGAAGCCACGGACCTTCCGCTTCAAGTATGTTTTGAGCCAAAACAAACAATAGAAATGCAGAAATATGGAACCGCTCGACAGCATCTGGACACAACCCCCAGAGAATAAAAAGTAAGTATTTTGCATGCATTCCAAGACAGATTTCTAAAAAACAGCCCTCATATGGAAAAAATACATTATGTAATCCTACTAACAGTGAAGGGCAAACCCACTAGATCTGAAGGCTGTGCTTAGTATCCCAGAAAATGATAAGGGAAATGAAGCAATATAATGCGGAGGAAAAGGTCTTCTTAATATGAGATTTTATACTGGGAATAGAAGGCCAATCAAAATTTGATCAAAAGTTGTCATTTTTTTCCATATTCATGTTTCTTAATTTTTATATAATAAAAAGATAAAAATAAAAATGAGTTTAAAAAGTATATTAAAGTGTTTTATTCAGTATTCACTGTTTTTTATTTCCACCAATCATAGTAACTCAAGTTGAGTATAGGGTATACGCATGGTGTAGAAACTACACACTCTGGCTACACACTTGTGATATAGAAGACATTCAATTGAATGCATGTCTTTTCAGATTATGAAAACAGAAATGTGAAAGGGCCCAAATGGATAAATTTAAATCGCAATGCTTCCCCTTCCAACCCAAATTTTCATGTCTGATTTCCTATCCAGTTCATGTAAATCGCAAGTAAATTTTACTGAACCAGCTCATGTACTCTTTGTGTTAATTAGCTGTCATTTGGAACAAACAATTGTACCATATTCTTAATGTACATTAATTGGAAATAATCAACAATATACATTGTGAGAACAATGCAGAGAGAGTTTTGAAAGTTTCCGTTACGCATCAAGTCCATCTCTAAAAGTAGGAGTGACTCCATTACAACAAAAAAAAGCAGGAGGAAGTGACGAAAATAAGGTGTCAGCCAGACCATAAACACAGTAATTGCTCCCCTCTCCCGGGTGCAGATGGTGGGGTTATGGTGGGTTCTGTTGAATGGTTGTGCGATAGAAATACAGTACTACACCACAAAACAGTTGGGGACAAAGGATTATGTTTAATAATGAGGAGAGGGTATTAATCATTTAGTGCATGAGTTCCTGCATTACTTCTTTAATCTTTAGTGGTCTGCAACATAAAGGAAATCTCACAAAAAGGTGCCTGATGAGAGCAGTAAAATAACAATCAATGGTAGCAACCGTTGCCCAAGCTTAAAGCTAAAACCCCAACTTTATTCAATAATAATGCATAGTTCGAATAACCCTATTAAGGGGTATAAATAGCCTACTAGTTCTAATTAAGGTAAAACTCCTAATTAAATCATATTAGGAAACAAACTTAATACTACCTCCGTCCCATTAGAAGGTTCTCGTCCACTATTCACATGGTCAACTTAAATCATTTTTAAACTTTTACTTTATAAATCAAATTTTTATCAAATTTACATTTTTCTTATCAGGCTTTGTAGCGGTTTTAATGTAGTTTATGAATATGTTAATTTTATTTACTAAAAATAATCAGAGTGTGAACAGGGACTAAATTGCTTTATCGTCAGTCAAGCATCGTAAACCGTTCACGGGAATCTTCTAGCGGGGCGGAGGGAGTAGTAAACATAATAAAAGGAAATAACTAGGGAATTAATTAATTAATTAATTAATTAATTAAAGCCAACTAAAATAGCCAGTCCACGAAGGTGGGTCAAGGCCGTCCCCGCCTCCGGTAGACTATCAAGGGCCTGGGGCCTGGCTCTCCTTCAGTCGTGCCTCGCTGCTGACCGGCTGCCCCATCAATTTCATCCTCCTTTGGAAGAACCTTGTCCTCAAGGTTGAAACCCGGAAACTGGCCCAAGAAACTTGCTTTATTCATCCATGTTGCCTCGTCACTAAACTGCTCAGCCCATTTGACTGGGCCAACTGGCAATTCCAAGCTTTCTGCCAGCTCACTTTCTATCGGATGATCTCCGACTACCTTCCGCAGCTGAGATACGTGAAAAACTGGATGGATACGGCTGGTAGATGGCAATGCCAGGTAGTAGGCTGTTGCCCCAACTCGTGCTTCGACCAAAAATGGCCCATAGAATTTGGCAGACAGCTTGTTGTAAGGCTGACGAAATAGAGTAGTCTGCCGGTGAGGCCTAACCTTCAAAAACACCTTATCCCAAACCTAAAAGTCCACGTTGCGGCGATGTTTATTAGCTTGGGTCACCATGCTCTGTTGTGCTTTCTGTAGACTCTCTTTTAGTCGTTTTAACATGACATCCCTGCTGCCCAATACCTCCGCCACGGCTGCCACCTTGCTTTCTCTTGGAAGGAACCGTCGAATAGTGGGTGGTGGCCGTTCGTATACACCCTCAAATGGTGAAATTTTTACTGCTGTCTGGAACGAGTATTATACCAATATTCAGCCCAATTCAGCCACATATCCATCTGTTTGTCCATCAGTCTCCGGGTGATAAGCTGAGCTAAATTTTAATTGTGTTCCGGACAGGAGAAACAACTCCTGCCAAAATGTACTAATAAATAAAGAATCCCGGTCACTAACAATCGAACGTGGAATGCCGTGTAACATGACTACCTGACTACCTCTCTGGGAAAAACTTCAGCCACTAAACGTGCTATGATCGGAGATTTTAGGGCAATAAAATGCCCGTACTTAGACAATCAGTCCACCACTACCAAAATAGATGTATACCCTTTCGACTTGGGCAAACAAGTGATGAAATCCATGGAAATATCTTCCCAAATCAAGCTGGGAATAGGTAAGGGCTGCAGTAGCCCAGCCGGTGACATCGCCTCATATTTCGACATACCAAACACTGTGCAACATAGGCCCTTACCTGACGGAACATTCCCCACCAAAATATGTTCATCGCTAGTCTTCAGTATGTCCGGTGTGCGCCGGCGTGACCTCCAGCAGGTGTGTCATGGAATTACTTCAACCGGGAAATCCACTTAAAATCCAAAGGCAGGACCAATCGGTCCTTGAAGAACAGCCGCCTCCCAATCACTTCATAACCCGGTACATTCACCGGATCAATTGTCGGATCAAAATTTTATCTCTCTTTTGCTCCTCTTCTATGTCGGACAGACCCAGCCATTCTGGCATGCTGACTGAAGCTAGTTCCAACTCTTCCCCTCTTCGAGACAGGGCGTCTGCTGCTGCGTTAGAACTACCTGTCTTATATACAATCTCAAAGTCATATCCCAATAATTTTGCCACCCAAACCTGCTGAGAGGGAGTCGCTATGCGCTGAGTGAGCAGATGTTTGAGACTCTGATGGTCGGCGCGCACCACAAATTTTTGCCCGATGAGATACGGCCACCAATGTTGCACGGCTAATGTTAATCCCATCATCTCCCTTCGTAGGCTGATCTGGAAAGCGTCATGTCTGCCAATGATTTGCTAAAATAAGCAATCGGCCATCGCTCTTGCATAAGCACTGCTCCAATCCTGGTTCCAGACGCATCACATTCCACCACAAATTGGCGGTCAAACTGGGGCATGGCTAATACAGGTGCTTCGGTCAATGCCTTCTGGAGTCGACGGAAAGCCTCCTGGAACTGAGCTAACGTCTCTTTTTTCAAAAGTTTCGTGAGCGGCGTGTGATTAATCCATATTCCTTCACGAACCTCCTGTAGCATCCAGTCAGTCCCAAAAATCCCCCAACCTCCCGGACAGATCTCGGTTGTGGCCACTCCACCACTGCATTGACTTTGGCCAGATCCATGGCTACCCCGCTTGAGAAATAATGTGCCCCAAGTACTCCATCTGCGGTCGACCGAATGCGCACTTTTTCCTATTAGCTTTAAACTGGTTCTTCTCCAGGAGGCTTAATACCAGGTCCAACAGCTCTTGGTGCTCAGCCCATGACTTGTTGTATACCAAGACGTCATCAAAAAAATACCACCATCGATTTTTGCAAGTAGGGTCGGAACTCGGAATAAATCATTCGTGGCGGCCTAGAAGGTGGCAGGGGCGTTTGTCAGACCAAACGGCATCACCAAAAATTCATAATGCCCACTTGAGTACGAAAAGCAGTCTTATGGATGTCCGGACCAGCCACCCCGATCTGATGGTACCCGGAACGTAAATCTATTTTAGAAAAAACCACAGCTCCAGCCAGCTTGTCTAACATCTCCTGTATCACTGGAATCGGGTATTTATCCGGCATTGTAAATTTGTTAAGCTCCCTATAATCCACACAAAATCACCAGCTGCCATCTTTCTTCTTGACCAACAAAACTGGGCTTGAGAATGGGCTGGAACTAGGTCGAATGATGCCGGCTTGAAGCATTTCGTCTACGAGTCTCTCGATTTCATCTTTCTGTACATCGAGGTGGCAGCCCTCGCGGTTATCCTGGGCAAAGCATTTTGTCTTGATTGCACATCCTGGTAAGGTTATGGAAAGTTGTCAGCACACCCCTTCTGATTCTTGCCTATGTCCATCTCCCAATTGGACTCTGAATCTTCCCGTCTTGTTTGGGTTTAGGCGCAACAGAGACACTAAAGACGAGGAAACAAAGTTATGACGGGCGTCACTATCAATTAATACAGTGACCGTGTATCCTCCGATTACTCCATGGAGCCTCATTGTTTGAGGGCTGAAAATTCCAGCCATCGCATAAACTGGAAAATCACTGTTATCGCCTTCAGGATGGTTGTCGTCTGATGGAAGTTCTTCCTGCCCTGTTATTTCATAATAATCGTGTTGCTGCAAGTCCAGTTCATGTTCTTCCGCTAGCATCACCTTTAATTGTTTAAAAGGACAATCATGTCCCTGTGTGAAAGGTTTCCAGCATTTGAAGCATAATCCCTTGGCCCGCAGCTCATCTTACACCCTCGGGGGGTAATGTGGTGAACCTGGAATGTGTGGTGGTGGTCTGTCCAGACAGTCCGGAAGTGGTCTCCCCTGCATGTGAGGTGGACCCCACCGCCTGTCCAGCGGCCTTCGGGAAGCTGCCACTGGTGTTGCGCGTGCTGCCGCTACTTGCAGCCGGGAAAGACCCCGGGTTTGGCCGTGAGTAACTGCTGGAACGTGACCCTGTGGAGGTATAATTTGGTCCTCCTCTTCCTCCGTTCTGGATCGACAGATTATGCTCCACATTGCGGGCTAATTCCATGGCGTCTGCAAATTATCAGGCCGTAATAAGCGCAACGAGCTTCGGATTACTTCCTCAAGTCCACTCATGTAGTAGCCCAAATAATGATCATCGGTCAATCCCGGAACTTGGCTAGCCAGTTGAACAAACAAGGTATTGTATTCCTCCACCGACTCACTTTGTTTGACGCCAGACAGCCATTCAATCAAATCTGTTTCCCTGATAACGGGAATCAAATCTGGCCACCGGGGCTTGCTTGAATTCCTCCCAGGACATGTCGGGTTTGCGCACCTTCAACGAAGTCACCCAATAGAGGGCAGCCCCTTCCATAGAAACCATAGCCGCTGCCAATTCTCTGTCCGGTGGGGTTCCGCCGAGTTCGAACTGCTGCTCAACTCTTGCCAACCACCCAATTGGATCTTTGCCATCGAAAGAGGGGAGCAGGGAGGTTGCTGCGCTACGCAGTCCGCCGTCAACGGAGAATGCAGTCGCGATGTGTGCGGAGGAGTCGCTTTCGGCGGTTGCGGTCGGAGACTTCGCCGGTGGCATCATGGCCTTCGCGATCATTGTCAGGGAAGCCGCGATTTCCGCAAGCTGGGTGCCCTGTTCTTCAAATTTCTGACCTTGTGGGTCCAGTTTCTGTCCTTGCGCGTCAAGTTTCTGTCCTTGTGTGTCAAGTTTTTGATTGATTAGGGCCTGTTCGGCCTCCAACTCTGTCAGTTGTTCGTTCTGAGATCTCGTCATTCCGGCGGGACGGGATCCGGAAGGTCGGACCAATTGATGAGAGCAGAAAAATAACAATCAACAGTAGCAATCGTTGCCCAAGCTTAAAGCTAAAACCCCAACTTTATTCAATAATAATGCATAGTTCGAATAACCCTATTAAGGGGTATAAATAGCCTACTAGTTCTAATTAAGGTAGAACTCCTAATTAAATCATACTAGGAAACCAACTTAAAATAGGAAACATAATAAAAGGAAATAACTAGGGAATTAATTACGTAATTAAAGCCAACTAAAATAGCCAGCCCACGAAGGTGGGCTCAGGCTCATCCCCGCCTCCGCTAGACTATCAAGGGCCTGGGGCCTGGCTCTCCTTCGGTCGCGCCTCCCTGCTGACCGGCTGCCCCGGCCTGCTCCCTATCATGCCTCTACTTTTTTCATGATTTGATGGTGGCAACATATACTACGTATTAGATAAGTGATTAAAAACGAAGGTGGGCTCAGGCTCATCCCCGCCTCCGCTAGACTATCAAGGGCCTGGGGCCTGGCTCTCCTTCGGTCGCGCCTCCCTGCTGACCGGCTGCCCCGGCCTGCTCCCTATCATGCCTCTACTTTTTTCATGATTTGATGGTGGCAACATATACTACGTATTAGATAAGTGATTAAAAATAAGGCAGTGTTGGTCATGGTGCTGATCTAAACAAGTAACAAACATTTTGAAATGTATTGCATGCATAAGGGCATAGTAAATCAATTGAAAGCCAGTAAATTACGCTCCATGGACAGCAAACAACAAAATAATGATGTCATTAAAAACTAGGTACACAACACTTAAGACTTGAAGATATTGGGAATGACTTACCAGCATATACAAGATTGTGAACATTATCCTTACTGTAGCGCTTAAACACATTACTTTTTATCTCTGTAAAGTTGTTTGATACAAGCAACGCAAACAATGCATTGTTGTGAGCAACTATGCACGTTGACAGAGTAATGGCCTGAACTAACAAGATGAATGAATGAATAAGTACGAAGAGTTAAGGAATATACAACAAAAGTGGGTGCAAGAGTGACCAAAAATGTCTGTAAACCAAAAACAATGAAGTGTTCAATATTTCTAAAAAAGGATATTTGACGATGTCACAGCTACGATTTCATCTAAGATGAATCTCCTTAGCCAGTATTGCATGTTTTCCGATGAGCAAGTTGCAAGCCCTTCAGCGGTAGTAAATAAAGTCTGCATAACATCACCTCCAAAACTTTGAAATAACTTATCAAATATCTGTCCACAAAAGAAGCACAACAACTTTGTAATATTTATCTCCACTAATTAGTCAAGTTCATGAATTGTTATATCGTTTTAAAACAATTGTTCAAAAGGCTCTCTTTAATATTTAGCAAGCAGATAAGTTAATATTTGAAGGTTAGTCATGACCTAATATGATAAACAAACAAAAAATAAACAAGGGTCTGTGTTATAAGCTGGAATTAAAAACAAAAAGGGAGAAAGATATCTACAAGACAGCTAGGAAGAAAACAAGATTACTAGTAACCTTCTTATGATGAAATGCCTTAAAGATTAAGAAGTAGAGGGCTGTCATTGTTGTTCATGAAAACAAGATAAATGTAGAAAAATGTTACATTATTAGAAAAATGTTACATTATTTTTCCTGTTTAGATTGATGTACATAAGTGGGTCGGATAGACTTAGTTAGTTGTAGATAAGCTCATAGTTATCTAGATCCTAATATTTAGGATCTGTACCAGCTTGTAGTTATCTGTAGAAACTGTATTTATACTCTGGCCGGATGGCTCATTCAATCAAGGAAGTTTTATTCCTAAAACTTACATGGTATCAGAGCAGGTTGTTTAAACACCACAATGGTGGAAACCGAGCAATCTGACTCTTCTTCCCACTCACAAACCCATAACCCTAACTCCCAAAATAGCTCAATGACAAACTACCAGACCTCAGTTCATTCATCTATGCTCATTACTGACCATAGATTGAATGGCACAAATTATCTAGAATGGTCACAGTCTGTCAAGTTGGCTATTGATGGAAGGGGCAAGCTAGGGTACATAACTGGTGAAATAGAGGAGAAAAAAACTGGTGATGATGGCTACAGTGTCTGGAGGTCAGAAAATTCCTTGGTGACAGCATGGCTTCTAAGTTCAATGGATGCATCAATTGTCAAACCTCACATGTTCATGAAAACTGCAAAGGAGGTATGGAATTCCATTAAGGAAACTTACTCAGATCTTGAGAACTCTTCTCAGATTTTTGAATTAAAAACAAAGTTATGGCAGTCCAAACAAGGCAATAGAGATATCATCTCTTACTACAATGAGATGGTATCCCTATGGCAAGAGTTGGATCAGTGTCGTGATGATGAGAAGTGGGAGAGTGCCAAGGATCTAGCAAGACACAAAAAAAGGGAGGAAAATGATAGGGTCTACATGTTCCTAGCAGGAATTAATAGAGATCTAGATGAAGTTAAGGGGAGGATACTTGGAAAAAAACCTCTACCCTCTATCAGGGAGGTATTTTCTGAAATCAGGATGGAGGATAACAGGAAGAAAGTTATGTACAGCATTCCAGTACATAATGAGGAATCTGGGGACTCTTCAGCAATGGTGGCTAGGAGTGATGACAAGAAAAAACCCTGGTGTGATCATTGCAAGAAATTATGGCACACTAGGGAGACTTGTTGGAAAATTCATGGCAAACCACCAGGGGCAGGAAAGAAAAAAACTGAGAAGGCCCTACAAACAACTGTGACTGAGACTCAACAAGAACCACAAGTCAAATTCAATCAGCTTTCTATCACTCAGGAGCAGATAGGGCAACTTCTTAACTTCCTTAATTCCCAGAAAACCCAAAATTCCCAGAAAGAATCCAAACCAGAATCTTCCTCTTGTTCTTATGCCAAAAATGGTACCTATTCATCATTTTTTTTGTTCTGGGAAATCTAAAAATACCTGGATTATTGACTCAGGGGCTACTGATCACATGACTTCTATTTCAAATCTTTTTTCTTCATATAAACCTAGTGCAGGAGATAAAAAGGTTAAGGTTGCAGATGGTTCTCTATCAGCCATTGCAGGGATAGGAAATATTAATATCTCCTCATCACTGAATCTATCCAAAGTCCTTCATGTCCCTAATCTATCCTGCAACCTTACTTCAGTTAGTAAAATAACTAAAGATCTACAATGTTGTGTCATTTTTTATCCTTCTTATTGCATTTTTCAGGACCTAGCATCGGGGAAGATGATTGGCAGTGCTAAGGAGGAGGATGGACTCTATATCTTTGATGAAGAAACTCAATCTAATAAAAGAGGTCCAAGAAATGCTTGTTTGAAAACTGTTTCTTTTTCAAATAATAAAGACTTGTATTTACTTCATTATAGACTAGGACATCCTAGTTTCTATTATTTAATTATTTAAAAAAGATGTTTCCTCAATTATTTCTGAATAAAGATGCTTCTTTGTTTAATTGTGATATGTGTGCACTTGCAAAACATCACAAAAACACTTATTTACCCCACAGTTATAAACCTACTAGCCCTTTTACCTTGGTACATAGTGACATTTGGGGTCCATCTAGAATACCAACTTTAAAGGGAAAGAGATGGTTTGTAACTATTATTGATGATCATACTCGTGTCACATGGGTATTTTTAATCAAAGAAAAATCTGAAGTTGAGAAAATATTTAGAACATTTTATGCTATGGTCCAAACTCAATTCAATACCAAAATTAAAATGGTAAGAAGTGATAATGGCCGTGAATATTTTTCTCAAACTTTAAACAACTTTTTTACTGAAAAAGGCATTATTCATCAAAGCTCTTGTGTCAATACACCAGCTCAAAATGGAATTGCAGAAAGGAAAAATAGACATTTGCTTGAAGTCACTCGTGCAATCATGTTTTCAACAAACATACCAAAATATTTGTGGGGAGAAGCAGTGTTACATGCAACTTATTTAATTAATCGCATGCCATCCAAAACTTTAGGATTTAAAAGTCCTATTAGTTCACTACAACACTTCTTTCCTACAAATAGATTGGTAAACACCCTTCCTTTAAAAATCTTTGGTTGCACAGTGTTTATCAAAAATCCTGATAGATCTGCAAGTAAGTTTGATCCTAGAGGAAAAAAATGTGTTTTTCTAGGTGTTTCTGCCACTCAAAAAGGGTATAAATGTTTTGATCCTACAACCAAAACAATGGTTGTTACTATGGATATTATTTTTATGGAAGAACAACCTTTTTTTGATTCTCATCTTCAGGGGGAGAAATTAAGTGAAGATGTTCCAATAATGCCAAATATTCATGAAAATCTTAATTTTCTTGATATTAATCTGGATGATAATCTCTTTAGAAATATCAGTACACCTGAAAATAATCAAGGAATAAAAAATAATGAAGTAAATCCAACTGAACCAATTGAAAAGGATCAACAGACAAGTCAGTTCTTTGGAAAAACTTATGAGAGAAGAGTTAGAAATCAAAGAATAGAGGAAGTCCAAGAACCTACAACTGTCCATGATTCTGCCTCAATGTCAAGAAGTGAAAAAGGTAATACTTCTAGCAACTTTGACCTTCCTATTGCTCTCAGAAAAGAGAGAAGAACATGTGTTAAATACCCCATCTCAAACTATGTTTCTTATTCTAAATTGAAATCAGACTTTGCAGCCTTTACCTCCAATATCTCTTCTATTTCTATTCCTACAAACATACAGGATGCTCTATCTAAACCTGAGTGGAAGAAAGTTGTTTTGGAGGAGATGGAGGCTCTTGAAAAGAATCAGACATGGAAGCTTGTAGAGTTACCTAAAAATAAACCTACAGTTGGTTGCAGGTGGATTTTCAACCCCAAGTTTAAGGCAGATGGAAGTTTGGAGAGGTATAAGGCAAGACTAGTTGCCAAGGGGTACACACAGACCTATGGAATTGATTACAAAGAAACTTTTGCACTAGTTGCAAAGTTAAACACTGTAAGAATTCTTTTATCTCTTGCTGCCAATTTAGACTGGCCATTACAACAACCGGATGTAAAGAATGCTTTTTTAAATGGGAAACTTGAAGAAGAAGTGTACATGGAACCTCCTCCTGGGTTTGAAAATAAGTTTGGGTTAAAAGTTTGCAGATTAGAGAAGGCTCTATATGGACTTAAACAGTCTCCAAGAGCCTGGTTTGACAGATTCACAAAGTTCATAAAGAAGCAAGGATTTAATCAAGCTCAAGCTGACCATACTTTATTCATGAAGTTTTCAGGTAAGGGGGAGATTGCAATCTTAATTGTCTATGTAGATGATATTATCCTCACAGGAAATTATCACACAGAGACTAAAAGATTGAAAGACAAACTTGCTCATGAATTTGAGATTAAAGACCTAGGAAATTTAAAAAATTTCCTAGGAATGGAGATAGCTAGATCAAAGAAGGGTATTGTTGTCTCACAAAGGAAATATGTTTTAGATCTTCTACAGGAAACTGGAATGAGTGCCTGCAAACCAGCAGACACTCCAATTGACCCAAGTCAGAAATCGGGAGATATCAAGGAGGGAAATCCAGTTGATATTCACCAATATCAAAGATTGGTAGGAAAATTAATATATCTGACACACACAAGACCAGATATTGCATTTGCAGTAAGCATGGTAAGTCAGTTTATGCATCATCCTTTCCAAGAACATCTTGATGCTACTTACAGGATTCTGAGATACCTGAAGAGCTGTCCAGGGAAAGGATTGTTTTTCAAAAAGGGAAACAATAGGAAAATTGAAGCTTTTACTGATGCAGATTATGCTGGCTCAATATCTGATAGGAGATCTACTTCTGGATACTGCACCTATGTATGGGGAAATCTAGTAACCTGGAGAAGTAAGAAACACAATGTGGTTGCTAGAAGTAGTGCAGAATCAGAATTCAGAGCTATGGCTAATGGAATATGTGAGTTACTCTGGATCAAACGAGTAATCACAGAACTAAAGATGGAGATTGAGCTGTCTATGAAGTTATATTGTGATAATAAAGCTGCTATAAGTATTGCTCATAACCCTGTGCTACATGATAGAACTAAGCATATTGAAGTGGACAGACATTTCATTAAGGAGAAGATTGAAGCTGGAATAATTTGCACACCATTTGTATCCACTAAAGATCAAACAGCTGATATCTTCACCAAAGGGTTATTTAGACCTATATTCGAGCTATTTATAAGCAAGTTGGGAATGTATGATATATATTCACCAACTTGAGGGGGAGTGCAGAAAAATGTTACATTATTAGAAAAATGTTACATTATTTTTCCTGATTAGATTGATGTACATAAGTGGGTCGGATAGACTTAGTTAGTTGTAGATAAGCTCATAGTTATCTAGATCCTAATATTTAGGATCTGTACCAGCTTGTAGTTATCTGTACAAACTGTATTTATACTCTGGCCGGATGGCTCATTCAATCAAGGAAGTTTTATTCCTAAAACTTACAATAAAGAATAGGTCAAAAATCAAAATAGCACTCGATGAACTATTTAATTGAGGGCTAGTTTAATCTCGGCAGCATTTATATAAATGATGAGGAAGCTACTAGAAACTATAAGAGAAGTACCCAAAGGACCGCAATTCAGAAGGCTTTGAAAAAGTGAAACTTCATATATTGACCGTGATGAAGTCCTCATTAAAGTTTGGAAACTCTGAGGGAGATCTGACAATGATTGGGTCACAGACCTTTTAAGAAAAGACTTGAAGACAAATATAATTTTAAATGATTGGAGGAAAAATATGTTGGTACCCATTTTTAAGAGTTAAAAGAAATTTAAAACTGAACGATGGTACAAGACTGAATTATAGGGAGATAAAATTTATTGTTCATACTTCATACATACGATGAAGTTATATGGGGGGGTCAACATAGCAATGGCATATTATCTGTAAGACTACTCATGGAGTATTATCGGGTTTAGAATAAAGATCTGCCAATGACTTTTTATAGACTTGGAGAAGCTTCCGGTAAGATACCTGGAAAAGTAGTTTTGTCGGTCATGACGAAGAGTATTACGCAAATCTATTAAGATATGTATCAAGACGCTAAGACAAGTGTCGAAGTTCGCAGAGGTGTGACAAAAAATCTCCCATTGGGAGCATTCCTATTTGTGATCCTCATGGATGAGTAAATCATGATTCATGACTATCCAAACAAATGAATAAATAAATAGTGTTCAGATAATTGATTCTCTAGAAAAGAGAATGTCATTTTCACTAAGTTCCGAACAAACAAGGTTAACTACTTTCCAATCTGTAAAATGCCCTTCCCCAAACATAGAAAAATCAAAGAAAAGAACATATTTCTGGGATATTTCTGTGAAACAGAGTCTCAGATTTGTTCTAAACAGCTACTCCAATTAATTTAATCAATATCCTTGATGCTAAACAACTGGCTTAAATCTGATAAGTTATGCACCAACCAGTCTATAGCATATCTGTATATGTAATACTTACAAAATTAGCAAACAATTATTTATGAATTAATAAAAATTGTGAGTTCACCCATATTAATGAAACAGACATAGAATGTCATGAATTGTGTGAGAAACCAGTTTTGTTTGGTAAGAGAGCAAGCAGCTCATGGTAAAAGAATACTCCATCGAAAAATTAATTGTCGTGTATAGCAATGTAAGTAGAAAATAAATTATTACCCTAGATGTTGTCCAAGAGCATATGGAAATGCAACTGGGACATTTTTGTTTGAATATAGAAAAGCAAAGGGGGGACATTACAATTTACAAGGTTCTTCTATAGGCAATACTGACGATGGAGTTTAATCATCCTACAATGCAATTCAATATGGTACCAATCCAATATTAAGAGCAGTATGCACTATTTTTGGGCAATGATGTAGTATAGCTTTCTCACCTCCAACACATTGTATACCACATAAAGCTTGACTGTCCCTTGACCACGAATCATGTGATATATTAAACTTATATCTGAGAATGAAATAGTAAACAAATTAATTAGACAAGGAGAAACCATAAAGGGCAAGTGTGTATACTGGACAAATACTACAAATGTACAAGGCTGGACTTCCATGTATACCTGTTTGTTGTAATAGGGTGACCCCAATAATCAGTGCAAGAAAACAGCCAAAATCACAAAGCTGAGCTGCTGAAGGTCTACTTAACTGCCTGCAATATACAATAACAGGTGATTTTGCTACCAAATTATTTCTGCACACTGAGTCATCACATGGAAACAAGAAGACAGTGGTAAAAGAAATGAAAATAGATTCTAAGACTCTTCGAATAATCACACAAGCTTTAAGGTACACCTCTTCCTAAAATTCAAATCAATATTAAGAAACATTCAAAACATGTTGCACTAGCTTTACAATCAGTAACAACTAGGGATGGATTCGGTTCGGGCCACCCGGCCCGTGACCCGGCCCGGCCCGGTACTGTGCGGGCTCGGGACCGGCCCGGTCGGGCGGTCCGGGACCGGGTATGGACCCGAACCGATGGGAAGGGGCGGGGGCGGGCTCGGTTCTGGATTTTTGTGACCCGGCCCGGCCGGGTCAGGCCCGGGCCCGGGTCCGGGTCTATTTTTAAAAAAATACTAGCCGTTGAGGCCTTGGGGGTGGGGCTGGGGACAACCCAAACGGCTATATAGCCGTTGGGTGGGGTAAAGGGGGGGTCCGGGGGGGTTGGCTGGTAGGGGTGGGTGGGGGGGGGGGGGGGGGGGGGTGGGGGTAAAAAAACCTATAAATACTCCTACTCTTAAACATTTTTTCATCTCTTCTCCAATTCTTCCTAAATCCTATTCTTAACTCTCTACTCTCTAATTCTCTTATTCTCCAATATATTATATATCTACTCTCTAATTCTCTTCTCCAAGAAGTTAAGATGGAAAATCAAAATGCCATTATACAGTATAATTTTGATAAGCAGAAGGACCCGAAGACCGGGATGTGGTACGCAATTTGCAAATGGTGCGAAAAAAAATGTATCATGGGGGCTTCAGGCGGATTCGGGATGGCAATCAAGCATATGAAGTCATGTGACAAAGCCAAAGGATCGGGAGGTGCGGGAAGTTCCGATTGATTACAATTTTCAAAATGTTTATCTCTTAAAGTTTGTTTTAATTTTCAAATGTAGTTCCTATTTCATTTCAAATAAATGCAATTGAAGTTTGTTTTTAATACTCGTATAAAACTATAAACTATAAAATATAAATTATAAAAAAAAAAAATTAACCGGACCCGACCCGTGACCCGGGCGGGTGGCCCGGCCCGAACCGGACCCGTCCAACCCTCGGGCCGGTCCCGGGCCCACTTTTCTTGAACCGGCGGCCCGACCGGGCCCGACCCGGCCCGAATCCATCCCTAGTAACAACCTCTTATTTTCCTTCTCACTTTGATCATATATTCATAATACACGACAGCCATTACCCTGATGTTTGTCAGCCCAAGATGTATGTGCATTTGTTCCTTAGACACCCTTTTTAAGCTTCAAAAAACCGACTAGACTAAAATAGTATGGGCACCTTGAAATAAACTATGAAACAAAGTTCCTTTACATGCTTAACATAGTTAAATAAATCCACGAAAAAGGAGCAAATGCAATAAAAACACACAGATCAAAAGTTATCTTTATTTTATCATCGATGCTAGAGAACAAAGTTTTCCCACCCAGAAAATTTTGTTGAACAGATTCTTGCTGAAAAGTGATAGGAACATGATTATTGCAATTTGCAGTATGGAGAATCAAACAAAGAGAATAGCCTGACCAAGTTTTCAAAAACTTGCAGAAGGTTGTGAAGATCCTTGTTGGCATAATAGTTAGCAATGAGAGAAATGAATCCAAGCAGACAAAAAATCCCACATTTATAAGCTGCAAAGTGATGTTAATGTCATGTACCACAAATAGGATATTGAGAAGCTATATCTAAAGAGCATGGGAAAGGATGATCAGAGTGTGCAGGCTATAAGTTGCATGCAAGAAAGATATTGCCTAAGTTCCACCCTGATAATTTAGGACAAACAACTTTTAGAGCAATACAGAAACTATGATACTCTCTTCATCCAAAAATATAGGTCCCAACTTCTTTCTGCGTGAAAATTAAAGAAGCAAAAGGTACTTGATTTAATCTCCAAACGTGTCTCTAAAAGGAGGGAAGTTTCATAAATAGTTTTGCAAGTAAATCAACATGCCAATCATAACAGAGTAAATTGGATAAGGAAGAAGAAAGTTAGTGTAGTTAACAAAAAGGAAAGTGGACATATTTGTCAGACAAACAGAAAAAGGAAGACAAAGTGGGGCTAATGAGACAGGATGGAAGGACTGTTTTTATAAGGCAGGCCTCCATATTCAGTTGTCCAATAGGACCATTCAACTTGCATCATACCAGTTCACACCTCCAAGGTAGGTGGATTATCGTGTCATACACTCTCTCTCGTTCCTTCTCATTACCGAGGCACACTGTGCTTTTTAAAGAATTTCCAGCATACATCTCTTCCACTAAAAACTTCACTGGTGACTTCTCCACATGAAACTCATCTGCATGAAAGCAATGAGGAAAACAATCTATAAAACTAAATGCATATTCTAAAGAAAATTATTAACCTTCACTTTACTCATAATTTATTTTTTTCTTTCATTTTTGGACCAACTCTAGTTGAAATAATATCCATACTCCATAAGTACAAAAATGAAACCGTGTGCAGTGGATGTGGAGATATCAGTGAGACTTCTCTTTCTAACATTGTGTTACAAATGAAACATTTGCTTTTAGTAGTGACTAGAATTAGCAGATGATCCTCTCAGGGTTAATATACACAGTCTAACATATACCGGTGACAACATCCAAGGAATGTTTTATTAGGGAACCTCAAAGCTGCTTGTAGTACTCATGATGAAAGCAGAAACATGTGGAAGAAATGGAGGGGCCAAGGACCACTTATAGATACCCTGAAGTTAGACAATTACTCCTCTGAGTCCTTTCTTTTGAGCATCAGGCAACTACTAAATTATACATGATATCCCTGAGTTGAAAGTAATAGTTAAAAAACCTGTTTTGCAAGCCTTTGAGGAGAGCAGCCCAACAACCATTGGGGAAACTACAAGGATGCAGGACCAGTTTCAGGCCTAGTATGGTCATATGGATGTAAACTGTCTAATGTAGCAATTACCAAGGGCTTGCTGGTCAACAACGCAGCAGGCTTATAAATTCAGGCCTCCACCTGGGCCCAGGGGTATTGTACGGGTATTACCTTCAACATTTAGTTCTTCTTCTTTGATCATCATCATCATCATTACCCCAGTGCCGCAAAGGCTCCCACCTACGATGGGGTAAGGGGGGGTCGGATGTACGCAGTCTTACCCCTGTACTAAAGCAGGGAGAGACTGTTTCCGGATGACCCATAGTGTTCTTCTTCTTTGATAAGTAAACTTAAGATCTTCTGTTATTTGGAATCTACTAGTTAGGTGAGTAAGAGAAATGTTTCTTCTCTTCTGTGTCTACAACTCTACTTCATAAAATATTAAAATATTTGGATAGTATATATTATTGCAGTTTCAACTAATAAAATCATAAAACTATAACAATCAACTAATTAAAGAAAGCTGTTCTCTAGAAGATGGTGTTACTTGTTCAGAACAGAAGTAAGATAACTATTCTTTACAAATAAGCAACGCATTATCATGCAAACAAAAAGGAATGGCAAATTACTTCTGTATACCGATGTTATTACATTCGGAAAATTCTAAAATTCTTACTTTCCAAGTAACATGATTATATCTTCCTTTCATTCGAATGAGGTGCATATGATCAAAATGATTCTGAATTCTAATACGGAGTATCATAGATTGCTAGTATTGATATTGTTACCCGGTAAGGTATACTAAAAATGAGTTCTTTCGATTGGTCTAATATGCACATGGAACACTTAAGGCCTGCGTATAAATTTTGTCTAAACACAACACAAGTACATTTAAAACACACTACCCAGATACTTTCCGCTACACAAAAAAAGCAGCAACTCAGAAGTAATTGCAAACAGCAGCCAACTAGTAGAGGGATGTAAAGAGGCTCAAAATGTAAGTCAATTAAGTATACTTACTGTTTTGATCCTCAGCCATCAACCTCTTCCAGTCCAGAGAGACCTCCTTTTCCAAATTACGCCCCATAATCACATCCCCCCCATTCACCATTTCCCCCCTTGCATTACGTTCCACTTTCTGAGCTTCGCTCTTTCCATCTCCATTGCTCTCGGTTTCCCTGTTAAGGGGAAACAACGTCACTCCCTCTTCTTTCGCTCCACTCAAAACCGCATTCCTTTGCCGCAGTTTGCTATGCTGCGTCCCTATAACCGAGCTAATAGTGCAATTACTTTCATCCCGTTGGGCCGCTACATCCTCAAAAACTACTACACGGCTCTGGGCATCACAACAAATGAGACTTCCAGAAACCGACGAATGTTCAATCACTTTACTCTGGTTTTTCTTCTTTTTCTTCTTCTTGTGGGGCTTTTGGCGGGGGTCGGGAGGGTTTGATTCACCGCCTTCTGGAACCGGTCTGGGAGGATCGGACTTTGATCGGTGAAGGGCAGCGGCTGCAGTTGAGAGCCATTCAAGGTCGTCGCCGTCCCCGTTGGCTGAGGCTGTGAGAATATTGAAGGATATTTTACGACCACTTGATCTGACAGCCATTGATCGTCGCCGATGCGCTGCTTCCGGTGACGTAGGATTGGGGGTGATGAGTATGATGAGTTCACGGGGAGTGCTTACTTTTTTGTGGTAATTACCCCTTTTGCCACCTCACGGCGAACTGTGGCTCCGCCCTCCGCCCTTGCCTGTAATTGTTAATTGTTGTTATAATTCATATAGTTAAGATTTATTTCTGGTTTTCGATTCAGTTTTGTTTTACTTTTTGCTTTATTTTTGTTATAATTGAATTTCAGTTTTAAGATCTTCACACCACATGACACACGTGAATTTCAGATTGGAGTATTTTTGCTTTTCGAATTATTGCATATTAATGGAATCCCTCAGGTTTCAGTTAATCAAAGCTCGGAAATCATGTGTCCTTGTATGATTGCTCAAAATGCATTGATAAAAAGGTATTAGATCTTCTCAATTGCATTTGTGCTTGCTTATTCTATCTTATTCCTATCCTCTCTTTGATATGAAAAAATAACTTTGCAGGCGCTAAGTATTACATGATCTGTTGCTCTTCCGAATGAAAAGGTATACACTAAATTGCTTGATTTTGTTGATATTTGTATTGTAATGATCTAAGTTGCTTCATTTTGTTGACTTAATTGTAACATAGTGCAACAAAAAGAAACACTCGGAAATAATAGCAAACAAAGAATTGTAACAAAACTGAAATCTAATTTAAAAAGTCACCTCCATTACGGTATGTAATTTACAAAAGTAGCTAAGTATTACAGGGTCCGCTGCACTTCCAAATGGCCATACTTTGTAAGGTTAAACATTATGCTGAAATCTAGAAATTAGAAACTAGATTGTAAATCCCCAAGAATTGAAATGTTTCTACCTTTACTTTTAGATGTGGGAAGGGGTTCTGGTGCTTATAGATGTTTTCTGGCTCATAATTTACCCTTTTCTCACTAATAAAGACTACTAGTTGCATTTTGCAAGTCAAACCTTAACTTTTTAACCTTCTAAGTTCTAAGTCAAACTTGCCTGCTTAATCACTTTCTGACTTTTTCCTTGGTCTTTTGTATATGCATTCTATAAAATGTTGTTTGCCTTCTGGCTAAATGTGTGTAATGTGTATAATGAAAAATTGAATATAATAAATATCAATGAGAAACAAAAATCAACAATAAAAAACAAAATATGAAAATTCATCATTCAAAAGAAACAAAAGGCAACACAAAGCAATCATATAAAAAAATGCAACAAAGCACAACATAACAAATGATTATAACAAAATACTAGTGAGAAACAAAAATCAACAATAAGAAACAAAATATGAAAATTCATCAATCAAAAGAAACAAAAGGCAACACAAAGCAATAATATAAAAATGCAACAAAACGCAACATAACAACAAGAAAAGTTATAATATCATTATAAAAATAAATAAATTTAATATTTTGAATTTAAAATAATTTACTTTTTTTTAAACTGTAACTAGTTTAAGTAAAATTTTATTAAAAAATTATATGTTGTATTTCGTGACATTTTATCTACTTGACTCTTTTAACATTTTTTGGATTATGTATTTCCTAATTTTTATTCATATTTACTATTGATAAAACTTCTAATTTTTAACACTGCATAATACTTTTGTTTTCAATTTTTAGATTATAGTACTTTATTTATGTTTAGAAAGATTTGTAATAACATTACAAGCTTACATTACAAAATCAATAAAGTTGAACAGGTTGACAAGGAGATTGTGGATGTCCATTTGAAGAGGATAAGAAGGCTTGGTGTGATAACTTCACTTGTAGGGGTAGTACATGATCCAGCTTCATATTTATCGTCCTAGAAAGGCTTTTGTTCACATCTACAAGTTATGTGCTATAAAAACAAACTTGATGCTGAAATGGATCATTGCAAGATCATAGAGAGAATCATGATGATGTATAGTTATTTGTATTCTTTAAATGTGTAGAGTTATTAGTAACTTACTACCTTTGTGAAAAGGGATATGAAGAGTGTGGGGTGGAGAGTTAATAATATTGTCTACTGAGAAGTGTCCACTAATGTTTCTTTTTGTTTTGAATTGTTGCATTATGTTGCTTCTTGTTGCATCATGTTTATTGTTGTTGTTTTTTGTTAAATTCTAATTTTTACTATTGATAAAACTTCTAATTTTTAACACTGCATAATACTTTTGTTTTCAATTTTTAGATTATAGTACTTTATTTATGTTTAGAAAGATTTGTAATAACATTACAAGCTTACATTACAAAATCAATAGAATTGAACAGGTTGACAAGGAGATTGTGGATGTCCATTTGAAGAGGATAAGAAGGCTTGGTGTGATAACTTCACTTGTAGGGGTAGTACATGATCCAGCTTCATATTTATCGTCCTAGAAAGACTTTTGTTCACATCTACAAGTTATGTGCTATAAAAACAAACTTGATGCTGAAATGGATCATTGCAAGATCATAGAGAGAATCATGATGATGTATAGTTATTTGTATTCTTTAAATGTGTAGAGTTATTAGTAACTTACTACCTTTGTGAAAAGGGATATGAAGAGTGTGGGATGGAGAGTTAATAATATTGTCTACTGAGAAGTGTCCACTAATGTTTCTTTTTGTTTTGAATTGTTGCATTATGTTGCTTCTTGTTGCATCATGTTTATTATTGTTGTTTTTTGTTAAATTCTAATTTTTACTATTGATAAAACTTCTAATTTTTAACACTGCATAATACTTTTGTTTTCAATTTTTAGATTATAGTACTTTATTTATGTTTAGAAAGATTTGTAATAACATTACAAGCTTACATTACAAAATCAATAAACTTGAACAGGTTGACAAGGAGATTGTGGATGTCCATTTGAAGAGGATAAGAAGGCTTGGTGTGATAACTTCACTTGTAGGGGTAGTACATGATCCAGCTTCATATTTATCGTCCTAGAAAGGATTTTGTTCACATCTACAAGTTATGTGCTATAAAAACAAACTTGATGCTGAAATGGATCATTGCAAGATCACAGAGAGAATCATGATGATGTATAGTTATTTGTATTATTCCTACTATGAAGATAATCATTGTCAAATTATTCTTTAAATGTGTAGAGTTATTAGTAACTTACTACCTTTGTGAAAAGGGATATGAAGAGTGTGGGATGGAGAGTTAATAATATTGTCTACTGAGAAGTGTCCATTAATGTTTCTTTTTGTTTTGAATTGTTGCATTATGTTGCTTCTTGTTGAATCATGTTTATTGTTGTTGTTTTTTGTTAAATTCTATTTTTTTGTTTATTTAGATGTATATTTATCTTTGGTACTTCCCTAAAATCAAGATATCTATATAGATTTTCATACAAAGATCTAAAATGCTAATTTTGGATTTATGAGTATAAAAAACAACCGTGAAACATTAAGAAACATAAAAAAACAAAAACAAAAATAGATTTATCAACAAAAAGAAACTCAAAGAAACAATATGAAACAAGTACTACCAATATAATGATAATAAAAAAATCTATGCTTCAAGAAATATTGCATTACAAACTTTCTATATTTTTTTTTCTATTTTTTAAAAATTCACAATTTAAAATTTCCATATTTTTATTCTTTGAGCTTGTTTTTATTTTACACTGTTTTAGGTTACATTAATTTTCTAATAATTTATAACTCTATGTTATTATATAAAATTTTCTAATTTTCTAATTTTCTAAATTTTATTATATAAAATTTATTATATATTTATTTAATTTTTTATTTTTAATATGCATATTTCCACGTTTTTTATAATAATTACTTTTTCACAAAATTTTCTAATTACTTTTAATACAATTTAACATTTGAAACCATTTTATCTTATTTTAAATATTCTTGTTTAATATTATTAATTATTCTTGTTTACTATTTAACAATAACATTTATTTATTTGAATTAATTTCACTTTTGATCCTATAATTATGTCAATTTCATATTTAGTCACGTATTTTATTTTCCCACTTTTGATACGTGACTAGTATTTATTGAGTATTTATAGTCCTTTTGTCTAATTTTTTGACACTTCTGGTGATTTTTACCACGAAAAATACCGACAGAATGACTACATATGTGCGAAATACGAAGTACAACACTGATACCTCAAAAGTGGACAAGGTAAAAAACGTAGATTAATTGTGGAATTGTGAGATATTCATAAGACCAAAAGTGAAATTTACTCTTATTTGATTTGTTGCTAAGCTTATTTTTTCATTTTGGTTGTTTTTATAATACCTACAACTTTTCAATTATTTTCATATTCTTTATAGTTTTTTCGTTTTTAAATTTGTAATCCAAATTTTGGACGACTCGGAAAACTTTGGTTAATTTTTTGAAAGTTTTCTTAGTTTTTTTAAATCTTTTTACCGTTTATTTTGTTTGAGATGCGTAGATAGGATTTTGTTGAATGTGTACGGACAATAAGTTATCATTTAGCACCAGGTTTTAAGATTAGTGCTTCGCTTTTAGGGGTTGA